ATTTGCTGCTGGTGCTGCCTCCTTCAAACTTCAACCGTGTTTGCCGCTGCTGCTGCTGCTGCCGCTGCTGCTGCTGCTGCCGCTGCTGCTGCTGCTGCCGCTGCTGCTGCTGCTGCTGCTGCTGCAGGGTTGACGGCTGCATTGAGAGCGAGCTGGAGGACGTGCTGCTGCCGCATTGCTTCCAGCGCCTTACATCCTGGATGATGACTTCTCCAACCTTTACTTTTTCGCCGCTGCTGCTGCTGCAGGGTTGACGGCTGCTTCGAGAGTGAGCTTGAGGACGTGCTGCTGCCGCATTGCTAGTGCCTGACATCCTGGACAGCGACCTCTAAAGCCTATACTTCTTTGCCGCTGCTGCTGCTGCTGCTGCTGCTGCTGCTGCTGCTGCAGGGTCGACGGCTGCCTAGAGAGTGAGCTTGAGGATGTGCTGCTGCCGCATGAGGTGGCTGCGGTTGCTGCTGTGGGGCCCAGCGGGGCGCCATCCTTCGTGCTGCAGGTGCGTGCTTGGGCCTTTGGAGTGTGTTGGTGTCCTGTGTATGACTGTTGCTGTGGTTGTCAGATGGTTCGATTGTTGCTGCATGTGCGCCTGGCTTACCCCTTTGGTCCAGCTGTGCATTCTCTGTTTTACATCATGTTAAATATTGTGCTATGAGTGTGTTGCATACTGTGGTGGAGGATGTGTTGCTGCCGCATGAGGTGGCTGCGGTTGCTGCTGTGGGGCCCAGCGGGGCGCCGTCCTTCGTGCTGCAGGTGCGTGCCTGGGCTGTGTGGAGTGTGTTGGGAGTCCTGTGTATGGCTGTTGCTGTGGACTTCAGATGGTTCATATTCATGTGTTGCTGCATGTGCGCCTGGCTCACCTCTTTGGTTCAGGTGTGCGTGCTCTTTGTTGTCATACGAGTGTGTTTCATTTTGTCGTGGTAGACGTGCTGCTGCCGCATGAGGTGGCGGCGGTTGCTGTCGTGGGACTGAGCGGCTTTGTGCTGCAGGTGCGTCTAGCGTCTTGAGCAGAGTGTGCTTGTGCGCTTCCTCCTTCCCGTTCTTGCTGTTGCAGTTATGAACATTGCTGGGTTTCTGTCTGTCTGCCATTAGTTCTTGTTGTGCAGGTGTGCCTCTCTGCTGTTCATCCAGCTAGCTGGCCTCTTGCTGAAGTTTGTTTGCTCTCATGTGAGAGCTGCTACCAATGTGTGTGCTGTCCTTGTGGTTGGCAGCTACAGGCATTTGAATGGATGCCAAACTGCATGTCAATACATACGGCTGCTGCTGCTGCTGCTGCTGCCAGGTGCTTGCTGAGCTCATTGAGCAGTGCGGCGTGACGGAGATCAAGGAGGACAAGATGTTCAGCACAGGTGCGCATTGAGTAATTCATATATACAGTGTTATATCGTGTTACGAGATTCAGAAGAGGTAACAAGGCGGTGCGGCGTGACGGAGATATGTAAGGACAAGATGTTCAGCACAGGTGCGCAAACAGTGGCCCAGTACAGTAACAATACCAACACCAGGTGTGAACCCCGGTGGCCTGGACAGGCCCTGGCCAAGCAATGCTTAAGGTGCGCAGCTTTGCTTGTTTCATCCTAGACTGTCCATCTTTACAGCTTGCAAGTCAACACCAAGCTGTGCTGTTGCACGTGTGCTGCGCACATGTGAGCAGCCAACAGCGTACTTTGCAGCTGTGCACAGTTGATGCATTACCAGTTACCTACCAGTTACCAAAGTAGGGCCACAGGCCCACCCACAAAGGAGCCAGACAAGGCTCACATTACACACACCTTTAGTAGGACCCTCTTCGGCTGCTGAAGTGTGCGGAGCATGCGAAACACCACTGCTGTTACATGCAAGCTGTCCAGGCCATTCATTGTACCTTCCTGCATTTTTGTTGACAATGTGGCAGTTCTTTGGCTGTTGTTATGCTTGATGCAGTGCGTGCGCTGGGCGACACAGTGGCAGTCTGCAACAAGCTGCTGCGCTACCCGCTGCCCCTGGCCTACACGCGGCACACCAGCAGGTGGGTGCAGCGGCAGCAGCAGCAGCAGCAGGTTGCGATGACGCCTTCTTGGCGCTGGCCGGGCATGTGCTGCTGCTGGCATTGTACCAACTACTACATTGGAGGCAGCAGCAGCCACAGCGTTGTCCCCAGCAGTCCCTGCCACCCATCCACCCACCCTTGTCATGTTGACCACTCAGCAACTGCACACAGCAACTGCACACTCATCAGGCCTGCCTGACATGCTGCCATCATTGTTCTGCCAGGTTCATGTTCCTGTGCCTGAGTGCCATGCCGTGGGCCATGTCTAACAAGAAGTCATCGTTGTCCTCCTGCTGCTGCTGCTGCTGCTGCTGCTGCTGCTGCTGCCAGGTTCATGTTCCTGTGGCTGAGTGCCATGCCGTGGGCCATGTGGAGCGAGGTGCACTGGATGGTGGTGCCCATCACTGCCGCTGTGTCATACCTGCTGCTGGGCATTGGTGAGTACATTTTATTTCTCTACAGCACCTGTTACATAATGCTATTCAAGGCAAGTAAAGCCTGAAATGCTGGCCATGTGGAGCGAGGTGCACTGGATGGTGGTGCCCGTCACTGCTGCGGTGTTATATCTGCTGCTGGGCATTGGTGAGCATTTGCAATATATGGTTTCAGCAGCAGTAACTGCTGATGATGTTGAGATGCGTTTAGCGAGGTGCACTGGATGGTGGTGCCCATCACTGCTGCGGTCTCCTACCTGCTGGTGGGCATTGGTGAGCAACTGCAGTCAGTGGTTTCAGCAGCAGTATCTGCTGATATGCTGAGATGTTGGGAGCGAGGTGCACTGGATGGAGGTGCCCATCACTGCTGCTGTCTCATATCTTCTGCTGGGCATCGGTGAGCACAGTGATTTGTACCTCAATAATAGCCGTGTGTATGGTAGTGTTGCTGAACATGCTGGTTGCTGCTGGAACAGGAGCAAGGTTCAGACTATTGCGGTTGCTAATGCTGCTGCAGTGCCACACCTGCTGCTGGGCAGTGGCGAGCTCAGCCGATGATGTTAGCCCTGATCATTGCACCAGATGTCCACACAGTTTGAATGTTAGTGTGTGCAACCTAACATAACTGCAGACTTAACAACCAAACAATTGTCTGTGTTGTGCTGCTGCAGATGAGATCGGGGTCCAGATTGAGGAACCGTTTGGCATCCTGCCGCTGGAGGATGTGTGCGTGGATATCCAGGTGGGTGCTGTCGTTCAGCTTTTTTTGATTTGTGTGAATCGGTGACAGTGCGGCCGGAAACATGCCAGGTGACGCCTTGTTGAAGATCCAATTCATTCCAGCCAGTCCATCAGCATGCATGCTTGCTTTGCTGCTTCATCAATACTGCCCTGTGGTGGCTGGGATTGTATAGAATCCACTTGTGGAACTCCACCACTGCCTTTGTCGCTGCTGCTGCTGGTGCTGCTGCTGCTGCTGCTGCCGCAGGCCGAGATCGATGCCATGATGGACCGCCAGGACATTGTGACAGACTTGCTGGTGGCGGGGGCACTCACAGGCACCGGCAAAGACCTAATCGCTGTTGCTGCTGCTGCTGCTCTGCTGCTGCTGCTGCTGCTGCTGCTGCTGCAGGCTGAGATTGACGCCATGATGGACCGCCAAGACATCGTGACAGACTTGCTGGTAGCAGGGGGCGTGGATTGCGAGCCCCGTAGCACCTGCGGCGCTTGTGGGGCCCTGGTGCCAGCCTCTGCTGCTGCTGCTGCTGCTGCCGGTGGTGGTGGTGTGGTGGCAGGGGACAGGGATGGTGGAGATGGTAGCGGCAATGGCTGCAGCAGCTGTGGCAGTGGGGCGACTAGCGGAGCGCAGGCAGTCCCTGCTGCTGCTGCTGCTGTTGTTGAGGCAGCACAGACAGCTGCCAGTGGTGGTGCGGAGGCGTGGGGACTCAGCGGCAGCAGCAGCAGCAGCAGCAGTGATGAGCCACCGGCTGCTGCTGTGTTTGTGAAAGCAGGCATGGACGTGCGCGCTGCTGTGCCTGCTGCGGCAGCAGCTGTTGGGCAGCAGTCAGGGGGCGCACTGGAGCTGCAGCTAGAAGCTGCTGCTGCTGCAAGCTCTGGCAATGGCAGCAGCGGGCGATTGTATTCCAGCCCCCGTCCTATGAGAGGCAGCAGCATCAGCGGCAGCAGCAGTCTTGTTGACAGCGGCAGCAGCACCCCTTACCGTAGCGGCGGGCGGAGTCCCGCTGACAGCGGCAGCAGCACGCCATACGGCACTGGCAGCAGCAGCCCTGTTGCCGGCTTCAGCAGCAGCAGCAGCAGTAGGCGGCGTCCCAGTCCGTCTCCATCTTCTCAGGGGCTGGTGGCTCGCTGGGTGAACAGTACCATGGCTAGCAGCAGCAGCGGAGCATCGCTGGACCCCTTGAGTAGCTTGGAGGATGCCCCGGGTCCTGATTACAGACAGCTGTTTGGGGCAGGATGGGGACCCCGGACAGCTGCTGAGGATGTGGCGGAGCAGCAGCAGCAGCAGCAGCTGCAGCCGTGGAACATGCGGGGCAGGGACACCAGCAAGTGCGGCGGCAGCAGCATCAGCAGCATCGGGAGTGAGGCAGAGGCCAAGCGCAGCAGCAGCCGCAGTCAGTCGGGGCGGCTGGGGCGGTATGAGCGGCAGCCTGCTCCCAAGGAGGACCAGAACTATCCGGATTGAGCTGCCTTGAAGTTTATAAGGAAGCAGGGATTTAAGCAGGATGTGGCAGCTGTATACCACATTGAAGCAGGATGAGGTGCTGCAAGGATTTGCATGTGGTGTGCTGGTGCATGTGCGGCAGGATCTGCTGTACTTGGGATTTTCAAGGAATTGCAGCAGGAGTTGGAGTATGCGAGTGGCACAGCAGATGGTGGATGAGCAGGAATTGCTGTACTTGGAAGGTTAAGTTGTGACTGTGGCAAGGTGGTAGAAAATATGAGGGCGGCCGGGTTCGAAGCCTGATCTTGCGAATGTGGGTTCATAGACCAGCTGGACGCCTGGCTGTGCACTCCACTCAGCATCGGTGGCAGAGTGGTCAATGCGTTGGACTTGAAATCCAATGGGGCTCCCCCGCGCAGGTTCGAATCCTGTCCGATGCGACCGTTTTTGTCTTTGCCCAGGCTGTTGGGATTTTCCCCAGGCTGTTGGGGGTTGGTTGTGTGCGTTCTCTTCTTTCCATTGTGCCCTCCCTTGGTAATAAGTCATTTGATGGAAGCATTCCTGCAGCGGAGTGCCCGAGACTCTCTCTTTTTCCTCAGGTATGCTTGCACACCTGCAGTCCTGCCCAGTGGGAGTAACAATGGCCCAGGACTGTGAGCTCTGAAAGGCAATGCCTGTGGCACACACAATATTCGTTTAGACGAGCATGAGGTTTGCCTGGCTTCCAGCTCAGGCAGCAGCAGCAGCAGCAGCAGCAGCAGGCAGATGCGTGGCCCATTAGGGCCCTTTAAGTTGACTCTCATCTCATCAGGCCTCAGCCAGAGGGGTCCGATGCTTGCAGCACACTGCTGACTGGTTGGCACAGAGTCAAGAGTTGCTGAACAACTTAATTTATGCGTCCTCAGTGTATTTACATGTGTGCAATTGGCATACTGGTACACCCAGGATTGCTGGCGGTGCTGGTGTGCAGCAGCAGTGCTGCTTCAACCTCATGCCTCTGCCTAAAGCCAATAGCGATGTACGAGTGTGTTTCACAAGCAACAAAGTTTCTGCTGCACCGCCAACGACGTTCGATGGAGCTCTGCATCGCCTGTGAAGTCTGGCAGAAACACAAAAGAACCCTAGTGAGCCTGCAGGCTGACGTGGACCAAGCAGCCCGCCTTTCGAAGAGCCCAGAGTTACGTTTTTCGGCAAATAGTTTGAACTTCGCTTTCTTGTGCACAAGCGGTGCTGTCGTGGCAATACTGTAGAGCACAGCAGCAAAGCCACTCTTGCGAGATCGCTTGCCTATCCAGCTGATGCTGACAGGCTAAGTCCGCCGTTTGTGTGACTCGTCTACGATGTTCGCACCTCTAGCAGTAAGATCACGCTACGGTGCAGCTCGCCTGCTGAGTTGCAGCTCCTGCTCAGCACTGCAGCAGCTACAGCAACAGCAGCAGCAGCAGCAGCAGCAGCAGCAGCAGCAGCAGCAGCAGCAGCACCAGATACAGCAGCAGGGGCATGCTTTTCACTCCAGCTCGCTCAGCAGCAGTAACAGCAGCAGCTCGGGAGATGATCACAAGTTCGTTGGAGCGTACACTCCCGTAACAAAGCAGCTGTGGCTGGATCGGCTGCGGAAGGCCGAGCAGCAGCAGCACCAGGCAGCAGCAGGAGCAGCAGGCGTGCTTGCTGGCACAGAGGCGCAGCCAGCAGCCGCGAAGGAGCCACAGGTTACGCGAGTGGACTATCCCTTTACTAAAGACAGGTTCTTGCTAGAGATGGTGAGTTGTAATGCTAGACATGCTGAAACTTCCAGCAAGAGGTGGTGAAGTTCTTGACTCACTTTTGACAATCAGCAGAGTGGACTGTCCCTGCACCAAAGACAAGTTCTTGCTAGAGATGGTGAGAGTTCAGGCAACAGGGGTGCAAGTTCCTGACTGGAAACGACAGTGAAATATCCCTTTTTAGATCACAACTTGCACAGATGACCACAATGCAAGAGATTGTGAGCGTTGCTGCTGCAGCTGCAGGTGGCGCATGGGCAAGCTGCTGGAGAACCTTGGCCCCTGGACATCTCTGCAGCTGTAAATTATCGTTAAAGTTAACAATCGATTCATAGCGCCCCCTGCAGCTCTGAATGGAGTGACGGTACTGCTATTCAGCCGTACTGCTTGACGGTTGTGTTGCTGCAGTACCGCAACCCCTGGGGCTTCCTTCGCATGGGAAGGCAGCTGGAGGACCTGGACACCTTGTTACCTCTGCAGCTCTGAAAAGCAGCGACAGTACTGCTGACCTGCTGTGTTGCTGTTCTGCTGTTGTGTCGTACTGCTGTACTGCTGTACTGCTGTACTGCTTGGTGATTGTACTGCTTGGTGATTGTACTGCTTGGTGATTGTGCTGCTGCAGTACCGCAACCTTTGGGGATTCCTGCGCATGGGACGGCTGCTGGGGGCCTTGGTTGCTTTGATGCCTTCACATACCTGCATTTTATTATGTAACGTCAAAACTGCTGTATTGTTGTTTTGCTGTCTGGCTGTTGTTTGTATTGCTGCAGTACCGTAATCCTTGGGGCTTCCTACGCATGGGAAGGCTGCTGGAGGACCTGGACAGCCTGGCAGGCAGCATCGCCTTTGCACACTGGTGGGTGTTACTTTTTGACTTTCAAATTGGCACCTGTTAATTTGGGCGAGTAGCGGTCCGGCACGATATGTGGCTGGAGTCAGCAAAGGCTTTCAAACTGATGCAGGTGTTGGGAAAGATCAATGTAATCCTGCCCTCGACACCGCGGATCTGCTGTATGCTGCTGCTGCTGCTGCTGCTGCTGCTGCCGCTAAATTTGCAGCCAGGTACCCGGCCTGCCGCCACCGCTGCTTGTGACTGCTGCTGTTGACGCCATAGAGTACCAGCGCCCTGCACATGACTAACCACAGCCCCATTGCTGCTGCTGCTGCTGCTGCTGCTGCCGCTGCTAAATCTGCAGCCAGGTGCCTGGCGTGCCGCCGCCGCTGCTCGTGACTGCGGCTGTTGATGCCATAGAGTATCAGCGCCCTGCTGTGCTGTCAGCTGACATGGCCTGCCAGGGGCAGGTGGTCTATACAGGCGGCAGCTCCCTGGACATACGAATGGAGCTGCTGCAGGTGAAGTTTCTGCAGCGGCTGTTATGGGACATTGTAAACACATGACTGTTACATCTGGATGTTAGTTTTGATTTGTCAAAACGTGGCCTGCCAAGGGCAGGTGGTTAACATGGGTGGCAGCTCACTGGACATACGCAATGAGGTGATGCAGGTGATATGGCTGTTATTAGACATGTTACATGACTGTTACACGGCTGTTGTATCTGTTTGTTAGTGTACCTGAATTCCTCAACTGCCTGCAGGAGCCGCATGCACCTTCGCCTAGCTTGGTCGCGCTGTTCTCCTTCGTGCTGCTCGACCCAATCACCAAGCGCCCTGCGAAAGTGCCGCAGCTGCAGCCAGTGACACCACAGGAGCAGCAGTGGGCAGCTGAGCGGGCGGCAGTAGCGGCGGCACGCAAGGCGGCACGGAAAGCAGCACAGGGCAAACCGCAGCGTAAGTTGAACACAAATCTTGAAACCTTTTACCTTGACACATGTTTAGTATGTAGAACGGTGATGCCGTAGGAGCAGCGCTGGGCTGCTGAGCGGGCAGCAGTGGCGGCACGACTGGTGAGTTGCGGTGCACATGGATGTTTCTTCAAGCTCATTCCGTCTGTGGTGTTGCGCAGTGTTCACGCTGCATGCAACTGTTCTGTTATCTGTTGCTACTCAAGCCACATCCCTTGCCTTTGTGGCTGTGCATGCTGCAGTGTCTGCAGAGCAGCAGCAGCTGCTGCAGGAGGCACTAGCCGCATCCCGCCTATTGCTGGACACGCCTGCCCTGGCCGAACCCTCAGCCTTGACGGCAGAAGAAACCAGCCTCAGCAACGCAGTTCATTCTGAATAACTTCCCCTGCCTGCTGCTGTTCATGTTGCTGTGCACGCTGCAGTGTCTGCAGAGCAGCAGCAGCTGCTGCAAGGAGCACTAGCAGCATCCCGCCTGTCACTAGAAATGCCTGCCTGCCCTGGCCGACCCCTCAGCACTGACACCAAAAAAACTCAGCAACGAGTTGCAATTTGACGAATGTCCCCTGCCTGCTTCTGTCAATGTTGCAGTGTCTGCAGAGCAGCAGCAGCTGCTGCAAGAAGCACTAGCCGCATCCCGGCTGCTGCTGGATATGCCTGCCCTGGCCGACCCCTCAGCCCTGACAGCAGAAACAGAAACTCAGCAATGTGTTGAAAAATGACGAATGTCCCCTGCCTGCTGCTGTGAATGTTGCAGTGTCTGCAGAGCAGCAGCTGTTGCTGCAAGAAGCACTAGCTGCATCTCGTCTTTTACTAGACATGCCTGCCCTGGCCGACCCATCAGCCCTGACGGTAGAAGAAACTCCCCTCAGCAACGTTTTGCCTCGTGATAATAACCTCCCCTGCCTGCTGCTGTTAATATTGCAGTGTCCGCAGAACAGCAGCAGCTGCTGCAAGGGGCACTGTCAGCTTCCCGGCTGCTGCTAGACATGCCTGCCCTGGCCGACCCATCAGCCCTCACTGCTGAAGAAACCTCCCTCAGCAATGCTTTCGTGTGCCAGCCGCAGCAGCGCAACATGCACGGACGCATCTTTGGAGGCTTCCTGATGAGGTGGGGTGAAAAGATTATGGCCCAGATGTATGAGTATGTAGTTGAAAGGGTTGAGGGGGTTGGCTGTGCTTTCTTTGGTCTAGTTGTGTGCCAGCCGCAGCTGGGCAACATGCCGGCCACATATTTAAAGGCTCCTTCATGAGGTGGTGTTCAGGGATGTAGATGCTAGCATCTGAGGTCGGACGGTTGGCGGGCTTGACTGTGCACGCAACAGCTGCCCTGCACGTGGCGCATCACCGCTGGCGCCACTTGCTGATGCGGATATCAGGGAGCTCAACTGTGCATGTTCTGCTGCGCTGTGTTGTGCAGGCGCGCCTTTGAGCTTGCCTTTGCCAGCACCTACCTGTGTGGGGTTCTGATTAGTCTGGTTTGGGTCTGACAATCAGGTTTAAAAAAAGTCATGTGTACTGTGTTGCAGGCGCGCCTTTGAGCTGGCATTTGCAAGCACGTACCTGTTTGCCGGCAGCAGGCCTGCCTTTGTGCGAGTGGAGGACATAACATTCAGGTGAGCGGCAGCAGCAGCAGCAGCAGCAGCAGCAGCAGCAGCAGCAGCAGCAGCAGAACAGGGCTGCACATGCATGCAGTCTGGAGCAGCAGCTCAAAGCTGTGGTCTGCGTGCTGAAGTGCTGCTACAGGCTGTCACCATCAATAGAGCTCAATGACTGCCTGTTGTTTGATAATCCTCTTGTGTAAGGCCTTAGCATCATTGCATATGTCATATGCAAGCCAACGCATGCGGAATGTTACCCGTGGCGTGTTGTAACAGG